TCGAAGATGCTTTTTTGAGTATTAATTAATACTTTGAAGAGTAGGTAAATAACAATTTATTAGACATTATCTAACTTTGTCGTTAATTTTCAAAAGTTTTTTTTTTTTTAATAGTGTTATGTTTGTAAAGGAAATTAATGATTTCAAGCCGAAATCATTGCACGTAAGACAAGAGTCGATTGCACAACGTGACCAGGTTTAAAAAGGAAAGATTTTTTTTTTGAATCATCATCAGAAGCACAAATTACAACTCGATAAACAGAAGGACGAGTATTACATGAGGAAATAATAAAAGCAAAAGAGGTATTATGTCCCACTTTTTCTTGTGTGCCTATTTCCACGCATAGTTACATTGATGACTATGATGAGTGATTTAAATGGGCTACTCGTAAATTTCTATGAAAGAAAGGCTACAGATATCGAATAAATATTTATACTATAGCAATTCAGATAGAGCAGAACTAAATATACACTGGATGAGCAAGAGTCAAGAAGACTAGATCACGAAAGTGATATAAGTGCATCAAACTAATTCCTTCTTTTTGAAGAAGATCTCATCCAAAAACAATGCGAGAACGATACCTTTGTAATACGTTCGCTGTGTTTTTCTTTGTTATCACTCATCATACGTAGTTTTCAGTGTAGAGATTACAATTCCTCTGGTTATAGTTATATGTACAATGCTTTGTTTCCTCAAGTTGTGTGTTGCTTGAAAAAAAATTATCAAAATTGAAGTAATCGAACGCAACAGTACATAAATTGATGAATGTTAGGACACATTATTCAAATGTGAAAAGCTGTATGATTTTCTTATTTTTTCATCACAATAAATAATACAGACATTAGTGGTGAGATTTTCCTCATAATGATGTGATATAATAGCACGAAATGAGTATAAGAAGGAAAAGAAGTTTTAGAAGAAAATATTATGAGTTATAGTTTATTAAACAATATTGAAACTCTTCCATTCTTATGACTCATCTCTTACTTCTCTGACGAGACGCGAGTAGTTTCTCACCTAATCTATGCTAATCCTTCTTCTTTCTTTCGCATAGTATCATATCGATAGTAAACAAATACTCTTTTCTAATCATTTCTCTCCATCGCTGTTTATATTTAACAACTATTCTTGATGGGAAGCATTTTCTCCATAAATACAGACGTAGTTTCCAATTCAATGGATTATCGTTATTGGCGATCTCAAATCAGTAAGTTCGAATAGAATAAAAGTGGAGATTTTTTCTCATCGTATATTGTATTTAAATTCCTTTCAGATTATGTATGACTATGCATCTGCTTGTTACATGTTTTTTGAAGCATTATCGCTCTTATTCCACAATTCTTTTTCTTTTAATCTTAATTTATACTTTGAAGGCCAGATAATTAATAGAATCTAAGAATACAATTACAGTTTCCAATAAGTAAATTTAGAAGAACTGGGTATTAGTTTAAGTTGTTTGTTAAATATTTTTTATATTTGTAATAGAAATCAATCAATTCAAGTCGAAATCACTGCACGTAAGATAAGAAACACTTGTACATAATGAGTTCTTTTCATGTATCAGATTTAAGGGCAGATTTTTTTGAGACATTCTCAAAGACATAATTCTCTACTCTGAGCAGAAATGCGAACAACGCATAGAAAAATAATAAAATTAGGAGAAGCATTAAGGTTCACTTGTTTCTTGTGCATCTATATGACATAGGTGTTAGATAGAGGAAAAATCACATCCACACGCATAAACTTGCTCATTCCTATCACTGAAATCAGATTTGAAAAATTTATGTTTGAATTTGAGTCGAATATCTTAAATTGGTTTTGTTTTTTGAAAATTTTATCACATACATGCATTGAAGATTTCAGAATATAACTGATAGATTCTATTTTTTTCGTTTGTTTTCTAGAGTTTTTTTATTGACTAACTTTTGTTTATCATAATATGGATTTTAATCAGATTTACTCGAATGTTCAACTCTTTTCTAAATGGGTTCAAATGTCGAAACATGCCGATGGCTTTCTTCCTCAAATTTATTTTACATGTAGTCGGTTGTGGCTTATTCAAACATTGATTTGTATGTTTTATTGTATAAAAACAAAAAAATATTTTCCAACTACATTAAATTCAAAACATCCGACTATTTTACAATTTAATTTTGTTTTACTAACGCATGGGATTCTATATATTGCTGAGATATTCTATACTCGCCTAATTGTATTTAGATTTAATTCATTTATTCATCATCTCATTGCTATTATCATATTTGTTTTGATTTTTTTTCAACAAAATATGATTTGTGTACTTTCTTTATTACCTTATCTACTTTATATGTTGTATTGGTATTTAGAAGCTCAATATAATTATCTAATATATATGTATAATGGGACTCTCATTGGCGTGACACTTATTATAACATTTATCAATCTTTCAATGCATGACATGAGACTTGAAATAGGTATTGCTACTTTATCTTTATTCTATTTTAATATATTTACATATTTTTATGACAGTGAATTGAACTTGTTAGAAAAATTAAACATGTTAAAATTGATAAAATCATTGATTTTCTCCTTGTTATCAACAACACCATTTTATTTATATTTATTTAATATTAAAAAAATAAATCTATTCTTTCAATCATAAATCAGATTTTCTTCTATATTTCATTATCAGTAGGGTTAGGGTGTGGATATCGGTGTTTTTCTTTCCTTTATTCACACCTAAACTCCTTTTGCAAAAAAAGAAATAGTAGACTACTGTTGATTTAACTATCAGCCTTAACTCAAAGAGATTTTTTATCAGTTATTCATATAATTGTGTATACAGCTTTTAAATTCATTAAGTATCAATAACATTGAAAGATAATTATAGTTTAAACAAATTCAAGTGTTTTTTGTTATAATTATGTTTATATTGTTTTTCTAAAGATATTACTCAACTTTTGTTAATAAATGAAAGAGATATATTTTATCGAATTGAATTACTTAGAATTTTTACAGCAATCGATTCGATTTTTGTTGACAACTTATGACCATGCAAACATCGCGCTGTAAGGCAATCCTCTAAAAAAAACCAACCTATATAAATGCTTCTTTTAAAATCCTCTATTTTCCTATATGGATTGGGCAGATTGCTACGAAGCATAATAATAAGTAACAAACGAGAAATATTATTAAAAACAGAGAAGTTTGATTTTTTGTGAATTGATGACTTGTTCGACAGAAATTTTGATTTATCTGATGAAAATTGTCACGTTTATGAGATCATATAACCTTTTTTTGTATATAATTAATATTTTTCACACCTATTTAACTATAAGGAACCTAAAAAGTTTTTCTTCTGCATGTCTAAGAATACAAGATATATTAGTTATCTTTATTAAAGATTTAAATATTATACAACTGAAGACATATCTTAAAATAAATGAAATACTAACAGAGCCATGTTGAATCAATTATTCCGTGGGATTCTTTTTTTTTCATTTTAATCGATAATAATACATTTACAAATAATTATTTGTATTTTCTAGAATAATCTACCTGGTTTAAAATATTTTCATTTATAACATAATTGTTTCAATGATACATATTATGGTCAAATTTTATCTCTTTTACGTCATTTGTCAAGTATTGAATTACTAAGTATACATCTTACTATTGATAATCCAACAACATTTATAATGAATTCATTGTTCATATATCGCAACTTCGTACATTTTATTTTTATTTTTGTATTTTTCTTCGATTGAATCAATCAGTCCATCATTTATCTAAAGACGATATTCTGCAAGCTTTTCCTAACATTATGTATCAACAAGTGAACTGTATGGTCAACAAGTATAGATATAATGATATGAAATATTATGCATATTTATTACTATTCTTGTTTGATTATCTTCCTTTTATTTATTTATTTTTTTTATTATGCTGAAAAAACTGTGATCCTAAGATCCTAGCAGTACATATGAGTAGACAAAGGAGTAAAATAGAGATATAATAAAAACAAAAACAAACAAAAAAAACAACAACAACAGAAAAAAAAAGAGAATCATAACAACAGGTTGTATAACAAGATAGTAAGGTCTACAAGAAAAAGAAAAAGAAAAATTAACACATAGAAAGAAAAGATTCTGGAAAATCCTCAAGAAGTTGAATTTCGTCAATCTCATAAACAGGTATCGAAGAATGAGAGGGGATAGAAGCCATCCAACGAACAACTTTTTCTATTATTGAATGGTGGGGAATAAATCTTTTTGATGTTCTCAGACACTTAATTGAAAACTATTTTTCAATCCAAATCTGTCTGAATACATTCAAATTAGCTTTTTCAAACAGTAACTCACCATCTATTGAGTCTGCTAGAGCTACGAGATATTTCTCCCAATAAGAAAAGCATCTGTCTTCAAGGGACTTTTCATCAAGAGCAAATGCGAAAAAACTTTCATTCCAATTTAGACAATACAATACACGCCTAAGCGAAGTATAATAAAAATGAGACAAATCTTGTTGTTGTTTTTCAGAAAGAAGAGGATAAATCGGATAGATCCAGGTAAAAATAGGTAATACAAAAGATAGAAAAAGAGTCTTACGAAGATATGGAGAAGAACAACCAAAGATCTTAAAAGCTTTAATCAAGGAAATTCTTTGCCTAATTTTAGTCATCATACATTTTAAAAATTTACCCCAACCTAACTTTGATGAAATTAAATAGCCAAGATACTTATATTCTGGGACCCATTTAATTATTTCTTTTGTTCCATGACGAAACTGAATGACGAAATTAGGATGACCAATTGCTCGTGCACTAAACATAGCTTCAGTTTTATTCAAATTAATAGGTTGATCAGTTAAACAGGAATAATATTCAAGTTGATCAAGAAAAACTTTAACTCTTTTCTCTAAATCAAGACATTGAGACGAATAATTTATCCCTAATTGACCAGCCATAATTCCAGCTAAATCGTCAGCAAAGAAGTGACTTATGCNGCATGATTCTAGGTTATCAAGTAACAACACGACCATCAGCAGGTAAAATAATAGCACGACCACTTGGTAAATGATAAATATCAACCTATAACAATAGAAAACAAATAAACTAATAAAAATCATTTGTTACTAATTAGATAATCTATACTTGTGGTTTAATATGTTCAATTTTGACTGCATTAGCTTTTAACCATACAACATCAATTTCAGTTTGACCTGAACCAATATTACATAAAATAGCCATATCACGCATTTCCATCATATGTTCACCACGAATTAATCCTGTCGAACCAGTAGCTGATACAAATATTTGACCAATTTTACATACTTCGGCCATTGTTGTTACTTGATAACCTAGAACAATATATCCATCATTCGTTTACAATCAATAGATAGATATTATTTACCATCCATTACGGCTTGTAACGCACAAATTGGATCGATTTCAGTAACAATAACTCGTGCACCATAACCACTTAATGCTTTTGCACATCCTTTTCCTACGTTACCATATCCAATAACTACTGCTATTTTTCCTCCAATCATGACATCCGTAGCCCGTTTGATACCATCAATAAGACCTTCACCACATCCATAATTATTATCAAATTTTGATTTTGTTACACTATCATTAACATTAATGACTGGAACTTTTAATTTTTTATTTTTCAATAATTTACATAATTTTGTTATACCAGCTGTTGTTTCTTCACTACTACCATGTATCATACTTGTCAAATGTGGATATTTTTCATGTATAATTCGTGCTAAATTACAACCATCATCCAAAATGGCATTTAATGGTTGGCCATCAGGAAAATAAATTGTCTAGAAGCAAAAAGAAATTTTACTATATAGATAACTATGTATCAAAAGCATAATGAAGAAGCAAAACAATGATCGTCACTTATATCGAATAGCTAAACAACTATTTTATTTACATTAGACATTGATTTTAGACCAAAGATCGCATATTTGACAGAAGTCACATCGATCAGTAGACTTTTTTCTTAAAAGATTTTCTAATTTCCTTTTTTCAATTTTCAACTTTTTTTTTATATTAAAGTATACACTAATGAATGTCGTAAGAAAATTGACAAAAAACAGTTTGTTATTCACCTGATCTATACACCATAATTTCTCTTCTTCAGTTTCACCTTTCCAACCATAAATGGGTATACCAGTTTTAACTAATGCAGCTGCAACATGATCTTGTGTTGATAATGGATTACAAGAACTCCATTGAACCTATTGGAGAATAATTATTTTTTAAGAATTTGAAAAGAAAATAATTTACTCGTGCACCCAACTGAAGAAATGTTTCAATCATTACTCCAGTTTGTGCTGTTAAATGTAAACATCCAGCAAGACGAACACCTTTCAATGGTTGTTTAGGACTATAGATTTTTCTTAATCGCATTACTCCTGGCATTTCAGCTTCAGCCATAGATAATGCTTTTCTACCCAATTCAGCTAGATTGATATTAGCAATTTTATACGGTAATTTTTCAATACCATCAATGAATAAAAATGGTTTTTGTTCATTATCAAAACGATTCGTCAATTGAGACTCGTCTGAAAAATAAATAAATTCTTCTAAACTCTTTGGTTTGCCTTTAGAATTGAGCAACATATTTATAATGCTTTAAACGATCATACAATGGGCTATTTAATTTCAGTCTGAATTTATCAAATAAAAATAATACTTTATTTCAAACTGAAACGTGAGTCTAGGAGTGAGGGGGGTGGGTGACTGAGGGTGTGGGTGTTGGTCT